GCGGCCACTGCACTCCAGTCTGGGCAACAGAGTGAGACGCCAACTCAAAAAAAAAAAAAGTCCTGAATTAATGTCCCCTCCTGGAGTGGTCTGGGTGTTAGGAGCATCTGTGAGCATAGGTGCCCACAGAACCAGGGCCTATACCTTCCCGGTTCAGCCACAGGCCCAACGGCAGGAAGTCGCTCCAGGCTGGGGGGTGGCGAGGAGGGGCTGTGTGCGCTGCCCAGGGCCAGCTGATTTGAGCCTGCTGGGCAGCCTGGCCAAGCATCAGCCTCTCCTGTTGCAGCAAATGCTGCTCTGGGGACCTGAGCCGGAGCCTCTGCCAGGTCTTTAAATAGCTGCCCCATTGATCTGGCTGCAGGCAGCATCAGTAGCGCTGGGCCAGCCTCCGTCAGGCGCTCAGGTTTCCCTCCTGGGGACTGGAGTCAGGTGCCAGGGAATCGCGTGGTCTTCCCTCCGACCCGGTGCTCCCACGCCTGCCTCCTAAGCCTGTGGGTGGGGAGGACTTCTGTCACCTCACGGGTGGCAGACTACAGGCCCACCACTTACCAGCTGGGAGGGCCTGGGTGTTGTAGGGAGAGTGGTATGGCCCTCAAAAACCGACCACTGTTCAGTGGCAGTAAAGCGGGGACAATGACGATGACGATTGCTTCAGGGTTGCTACGGGGACGGGGCCCCCTGTTAAGCACCTCATGGGGAAACGTACACAAGGGGGCCCCGCTTCTTCCTGCTGCTGCTGCGTCTACTGCCTGTATGCTTACATTCTCCCCCTCCCCCATCGCCCCCCCCCGCTGACAAAGCCACCACCATTTTGTGAGGGATTCGCTTTTCTCCAAAACTGACGAGAAAGGGAAAACCCTTTTCTCGTCGACATCACACATCCAACCGGGTCGCCTTAGTTCAGGCGGGGGGAGGGAACGGGGCGGAGGGAGAAGGTCGAGTATCCTCAAACGAGGAACCGCTTGGTGAAGGTGGGGCTGCTCCTCCCGCCCGACTCCATCCCGGGCTCCGGAGAAGGCCACTTTCTCTTTAAATGCAAATTACCTCCCGCCAGCTGCGCTTCCACCCGCTCGAGTTCCCGGGAGGAGAGGGCGGAGGGCGGAGGGCGGAGGGCGCTCGCACCGAAGCATCACTCGAGGCCCCGAGCCCCAGGTCAGTGGCCCCCAAGGGTGTGGGGGCGGGGGGGCGCGGGTCCGACGCGCCGTCTCGGAGCCCGGCTCCGGAGCCGAGCGGGCCCCTGGGCACACGGCTTCGGAGACCCCGCGTGGGAGGGAGATCCCGGGTCGCCCCGGCCGCTCCCGGGGAGCACGGCTCCTGCTCCAGTTCTTGCATCACGTCCCTAAGTGGGCCAGGCTGCCGCGGGCAGACGCAGAGGATGCGCTCGCGTCTCCCTCCACCACACCCCCGGACCCGTTCGGCCAGCCTGCTGTGTGCGACGCCCGCCTCATCCCAGGGCGGAGTTAGGCTCGATGGCGGCAGCCTGCAGTGAGACCCTCGGAGGGGAGGCCCCCGGCGGACCGGAGGCTTGGGGGCGGGGCGGCACTGCGAGCGGCTGGGCCGTGTCAGCCACGGGCGCAGCCATTGTTGGAGGCCCTGGCAGCCGCCGACCTCCCACCTCACCCTGGCTGCTGCTGAAGCCCAGCACGGACTTTCTAACCAGGAGAAGGGAAGCAGTGGCAGCCCCTCCCGGGAAACTTCTGGGAGTCCCATGTGTTTGCGGTTGGAATGGGTGGGGGAAACGGGATGCCAGTATCTCAGTGGGGGAAACCCGCAAGGAGCCACAGCTTCTCCTGCAATTACCCATCCCCTGGTGCCTACTGCCTGACACTGGGGCCTTCCCAGGTGCCCCCCCCCCCACCCTGGTCATCCACGCTGACAGGGTTTGTCAGCATCTGCCTAGACAGTCGACAAATAGAATGGAGCTTAGTTCAGACACCCCTAATCCCCAACTGGGCTCCTGCCCGCTCATATCCACCCATCTCCCCCTCCATTTTCTCTACCTGCCGCACCCCAGCCACAGGGGCAGAAAACCCCAGCAGCACTAGGATAAGATTCAGCCCTTTCAGGCAGGGCCTAGGTTTTGAGGCAGAAGGGGCCTTAGGGTGGGCCTAAGAACGTCCTTCAAATGCATATCTATGGTCCCAGAAGCAAGCCCTGGCATTTAGCCCTGCCCCTTCTGTACAGATGAGGGGACAGGCGCCCTGTCAGTTGTGAGAGGTCGAGTTAGAAAGTCCTGGGACCCTTCCTTTGCAGCTCTCAGAGGCTGCCGGGAGAAGGGATAGCTTTGTCTCTTGCTATCTCAGTGTGGTTGCTTCCCTCCCAGCCAGCACCCGATGGAGGACAAAAAGAAGAAGCGGAGTCCCAAGCCCTGCCTGACCCAGCCAGCCCAGGCCCCGGGCACGCTGCGCAGGGTCCCTGTACCCACCAGCCACAGTGGCTCCTTGGCCCTGGGACTCCCTCATCTGCCATCCCCCAAACAGCGGGCAAAGTTCAAGAGGTGTGTACAGAAGGCAAGCAAGGCGAGGAGGGAGGGACTCCAGCTCTGGGCTGAGCACTGCGGGAAAGAAGGCAAGGGGGGGCCTTCAGCCTTGAGTTACCAGGCAATAATGAATGCCTTCCCTGGGGCTGGCCCCAGCTGGCCTCTGAGAACTCAGACCCAGCCCCTACCCTCCAGCGTGTAGGGAAAAGGCAGGTGGATCATTTGGGATCACAGTGTGAGGATGCGCCTTGGAGAGGGAGGAGCAACCCTGCCAGAAAGTGAGTGGGAGGAAGCTGGTGGACACGATGGAGGGGGAATGTTCTAGGCTGAGAAGCTTGCCTAGCCTAAATGTGGAAGAAAGATATTTACTGAGGTTTCAGAACCACAGGGGGTTTTAGGGCCCTGGAGTATCAGGGGACAGGAAATGGTGAGGGAATACCTGGGTGCACAGTTTGAATTCTCTGTTGAATTTTGACGATTGGGAATTTGCATCCCACCCTGTCATGTGCCCATGCTTGTTCTCCACCAAAGACAATGTGTTCTTTCTCCAATTGTGTCAAATAAAATCACTGTGTCTCCCTGTGGCTTTGCACACCACCTGCCTGAAAGGCATGTTTGGGGACAACCACAGTGGGGTGTAGCTGAAGCCCAGGGTTGGGGCAAGAGCAGTAGGAAACAGTTTTAAATAGAAGAGGGGCAGAAAGATGATTCTGGGAGAGGCAGTGGCAATAAAGAATAACTGTCCCGGGCCAGGCATGGTGACTCAAGCCTGTAATCCCAGCACTCAGAGAGGCTACGGCGAGAGGATTGCCTGAGCTCAGAAGTTCGAGACCAGGCTGGGCAACTTGGTGAGACCCCGCCTCTACAGTAAATCAAAATAGTAGCCGGGCGTGGTAGCGCACGCCTGTAGTTGCAGCTACTCGGAAGGCTGAGGTGGAAGGATCGCCGGAGCCCAGCAGGTCGAGGTTGTGGTGGCCGGGAACGGCCACTGCACTCCAGTCTAGGTGACAGAGACTCCAACTCAAAAAAGAAAAAAAAAGAGTAACTGTCCCTAAATTCACCGAAGACCAGGGAAGACAAGTGACTCACTCGGAGTCACAGAAGGAATGAGTGAAGTGCTCAGACAGGAACCCAGGAGTCCCCTTCCCGCCATGGCGCTGTTTGTATTATTAGTGGAAAGGACTTGCCATCTCACCTTCACCCCCCCCCCCC